TGCCACGTAGGGTAGGGTTGGAATGGAGAACTAGCATTTAATATGTACAGAGTTTCAGCTGGAGAAGACAAAAAAAGCTCTGGAGTGGAATGGCGGTGATGGTTGCACAACTATCTGAATGTACTTAGTGCTACAAAACTGTACACTTAGAAATAATTAAAATGGTAAATTTTATACTATGTACTTTTACCACAGTAAAAGAAAAAAAAATAGTTTCTTTGTCCACTGAACTTCGTATTCCACAACATGAAATGCAGCCGGTGCAGGGATGCAATGTGGAAAGTGCTCTGGGCTTTTTCAGAGTTTGAGCACATAAGGATATTGCTGAACTTCTTGGACAATCTTTTAAAATATGAAAGACTATTGCAAATGTGACCAAAAAAACTCTCAAAATCTAACTTCTGACAATGTTGAACTTAAACTGTAAGATAATTTTTCCTTTCTAAGGGCCTATTGACTTAATCTTATCTTGGAATCTTATTAAGAGATCTTTGGAAGTCAAAGTACATGGATTCTGACAAAGGGATACAAGATGCTTTGGCTCCATTTTCCTTATTTATTTTCATATATACTTATAAGAGCTTTAGTGAAGTATAATAGAAATCCAATTAACTGTACGTATTTAAAATGAACACTTTGACTGTTTGTGACGTATATGTATACTCCTGAAACCATGGACACAACACAGAAAACACATTCATGTTCTCTCAAAAGTTTCCTCACGTCCCTTTGTAGTTTCTCCTTCCATCTCGTTCCTCACTACCACTGCCCCCATCTGCAGGTAACCACTGATCTGCTTTCTGTCATTACAAACTAGTTTTCCTTTCTAGCATTTTGTATAAATGGGACAATACAAGATGTACTGTTTTTTTGCCTGTCTTCTTATATTCAGCATAATTAATTTGAGATTTATCCATGCTGTTGTATGTATCAGGGTTCACTCTTTTTTATTGTTGAATACTATTCCATTATATCCATACACTACAATTTCTTTAATCATTCATTTAGGATGGGCATTTGAGTTGTTTCCAATTTGGGTCTATTACAAGTAAAGTGCCTTTAAACATTCATGTATGACTGTGCATAAAACATGCTTTCCTTTCTCTTCAGCAAATAACTGAGTGGAATGGCTAGGTCGTACGGTAGGTGTATATTTACCTTTTTAGAAACTGCAAAATGGCTTTCCATAGTGCTTGTACTGTATTTAATTCCACCAGCAGTGTTTGAGAGTTTCAGTTGCTCTACATCTTTGCCAATGCTTGATATGGTCAGTCTTTAATGTTAGCCATTCTGATAAGCATGCAGTGGTGTCTCATTGTGGCTTTAATTTTGCATTTCCTTAATGACTAATGATGTTGATCATCTTTTCCTGTCATATTAGCCATCTGTGTATCTTCTTTGGTGAAGTATATTCAAATCTTTTGTCTATATTCTGTTGGGTTGTTTCACTATTATTGAGTTTTAAGAATTCTTTCTGTATCAGTGTAAATCCTTCATCATATATGTGACTTACAAATATATTCTCCCAGTCCGTAACAGGTCTTTTCATTTTCTTAAGAGGCTCTTTTGAAGAGGGGTCTATTTTTTTCTTTCCTAGGCTAATTGTTGGGGGAGGGTGTTATTTAAATAACTCACGTTGGCTTTCCCCAAAATGCCCTACACAGGGAATTATAAGGCAAAGCAGGAATTTTGAAACAGGATGCCAATTGAAGCCAGATTTACTGATTTGATGGTAATTGTTTTATGGGAACAAGATTCTGGAGTACTATCCATCAAGTCAATTAACAAGTTAAGTAAGTAACTTTGTCCTGCTAAATGAAAGAGTATATTTCTCTGCTGGAAATTCTAATTTCAGAGTTTGATTGTTTTAAACTAACTATTCTAAGAGATTCTAGACAGTTAAACTGATGTTTGTAAAGCAACAATTAATGTTGAGAAAAAAAGGATAAGTTCATAAAACAGTTTCCTTTTCAGGCTCACTAGGCATTGGTCCAATAGATTTAGAGAAAATGCTTGCAACTGGCAAGGTCTGGTTCTGGGAGCCCTTCACATTCTGACTCCACCACCGACTACTGGCTCTTTGTGCTAAGTCTCACAGCCAGACTAGTCAAAACAGAAGTTTGTATTAATAAGGACCCTGCCTTCTGTGCTGGGCAGACCTCAAGTATGTCACACAGAACTTGGTCAGGATGGCTGGTAGACATTCATCAGAAAGGGTGGCTATTGTAGGTCCTCATGTAACCAAATGGGCTCCTGTGTAATCAAAAAACATTTCCATTATCTGATCTAAGCCACAAAAAATGCCATGAAGAAGGCTTTAGAGTTTGCATGTACTTATTTGCTATTCATATTTCTTTGGTATAGTATTAATTCAAATTTATCACCCATATTTTTGTTGGGTTGACTATTTTTATTGTTGAGTTTTGAGAATATTTTTAATATATTCTGTGTGCAAGTCCTTCATCAAATACGTGAATTTTGATGAAAATATTTGTAAATATTTTCTCCCAGATTGTGGCATGTTCTTTTCATTTTCCTAAGAGTATTTTATGAACAAATCTCTGCATCAGATATATCTGAGTACCTAAAAGTGCCTAATGACACACAAAGTGCCTAAATATCAGCTTTGTTAACTGTAAAAAAAAAAATACCATTATTATTCTGGAGAAGAAGTCATTCCTCTGTCCTTCTGGCCACTACCCCCCACCCCGGCCACCTCCAACACATACACAGAGCAGGACTTTCCAGGGCTGCCCCAGCCTCTTGGTTTCCGGACCAGTTTCACTCTGTGGCCCAGAGAAGGCAGTGGGCAGTCGGAGCTCATTGATGAGAGAGACTTCTTTAGCATTGTCGGCAGCCTTAAGTAAGTAGGCCATGGGGCCCAGGCCAAAGTTAACAATAGCTTACACCTGGTAAGAGGTAAATGTATGCATGCACTAGTAGCATGAGTAGGCATTATGAACACTACGCATGCGCCACTAGCATTATAAAGGGTCAAGTGCGTACACTTGAGGCGCATGAGCACCACCCACTTGTACCGCAGTGAAGTGTTGCTTTGCTCTATGTCCGCTCCTCCCGCATTATGTCGGCTCTTCGAGCCTTCTTCCAGTTGGGCAGCTCACCTTCTCGAATCTCTCTTCAGCCTCCCTCAGCTAGCAAGCATCCTCTCGGCTACTCTAGGTGAGCCTATGACTCTGCATTTCTTTGTGCTGATCTTGTTTTTGACATGTAGGCAAAAGGAAGCACGGCTGTGGAGGGGCTTTTGGCAGAGTTGGGGTGTGGAGCCACAGACTCTTGGGAAGAAAGGGGAAATTGTCCTACGGGGACGTTGACTGGTTTGGGAGGACAACACCTGCAGACCCACCAGGATGGCACTTCTTTGTCCCACAGCTGGTGCATTTCCCAACTTGTGTCAGAAGGGGGAGCCCCCGAGTTCACTGACTGCACAATAGTGTCTTTTCTGAAACTCTTGACTTAACATTTCACCTCAAAACTGAATCCCTTAAAGGGAATGCAGACTCCTGCACTGCCCTAGGGGAAAACTCCTAAATACAAAAATGTTTTATATGATTCTTCCCCTTGTGCTTCTTTTTAAACCTCCACCTACTAGCTCTGTCACCTGGGCATAGTTACTAAACCTCTCTGAGCCTTGAAGTTTCTGACCTGTGAGAAGCAATAATGAAATCGCGCCTACCTGAGGGCTGCTTGTGAAGAGGACTAAATCCGACTGGGTAGCAACTGCTAATGACGGGGACAATCGTAATAATTGAAGTTCCCGAAGGGTTCAGTACAAAGACAGAACCCCAGCCATGCTGGCCAGGTGCCCAAGGAGCTCCCAGGGAAACTTGATTTTCCCAGGGTGAGCCCTGGAATAATTTAGTGCCTGCTCTCTCCCACATGACTTTCTCTTTCTCTCGTGCTTCCCTGTTTTCCACTTGGCCTGAAACGACTTAATCTGCTGTACCTATCTTGGGTTTGGCTTTAGAGGGTCTGTAGCTTCAGAGATAAAGAGCAGATAGGATCGCCCTGGAATTCAGTATGAACAGGGAACGGGCAACCATGAGCAGACACACTTTTCTGAAAAAAAAATGGGGATAAAACCTAGCCTGATGGCAGGGGGGTCTAGCAGAATTCTTTCTCCCCCTTAGTGTCTGTGTCCCAGAAGCAGACAGAGACCCCCCAGCTCTCCTAAGACCATCCTGTAGATCTTGGCCATCCCATGAAGCGTACCACAGAGGGATTGCCACTTAGCAGAAGTGCCTGGGACTCCTCACCCTTAGGCTTGCTAGGGGTGGGAGTAGGGGGAGTGGATTGTTGGGGGAGGCAGACAGTGGTACAGGAATATTTTTAAATCCTGTTGGGGGTGGCGGAGGGAAGCAGAGCATCCTTCAGATAATAGGGGTGAGTTTAGGGCAAGCACAAGAGCTGAAATATTCTTCTGGTTACCCTGACAGCCAGTCAGATTTTAACGTTAGGGCAAAAGGGCCTGGGGCACAGAGTAGAAGCAGTGGTCACCCCTTGTTCTAGCTGCAAAGCCACCTACCTGCCTCTCCCATTTTAATTCTGAAGAGGCTCAGGCCACATCTACTTTCCTAAAACCTGGTCCCCTTGTCATCTTTTACCTTGTATATTCCACATGGCTTCCTTGTAATTTTAAATTCCTTGAAGGCAGAGGGCAGAAATCATACTAATTTGCAGGCTTACTTTCCAAAGAACATCTAATAGGTGCTGTGCAATTTTTAATATGGATGGTTACATAAATCAAGTTGAAATGAAGACCTCCATGTTGATGTTTCCTTTGTAAATAATTTATTTCCCAAGGTAAAAGTTTAAATAAATAAATAATGCATAAATTAATAATAATAAAAAAGTTTGAAGTCTTTAACTGTCCTTTCAAGTCCAATGCATTGACTGCCAGTCACTTAAAGAGCCATCGCTGGTTGAAGAACCTGACATCATTGTCAGCATTGTCCTTTCCCAAAGCCACGGGTGGGAGATCTTCAGTCCTGAAGGCATTCTGTAAGACTGTTAAGGAAGGAAAAATTCCTGAGGATTTCCGCTTGGACTACTGTCCAGGCACAGCCGCTGTACTCCTTGGACTTCAAGTACTGCACGATCTTTAAGTAATACATCTTCAGGTGAAGAATGGTCATGTCTCCCCTGGTGAAGTTTTTCTCCTTCATTATTTCCACCAGGATTGTCTCCACATGGTCTATCTGCACATCGATTTCTACAAGGAGGTCCTGAATGATGGCCTTATTCCAGCCAGTGCTTGAGAAATCTCTTCTGAAAATACCAAAGATCTGCTGGAGCATCTCATAGATGACCAATACGGCATCTTCCTTCTGGAACTGCTGGGGTTGCTTAATCTCCTCAGGGACGTCAAAGTCCATCCTGTCCTCAAGGCAATACTGAGGGATTCCAGGCATCTGCCGCAGGAGATTCTTACATGCCAAGTTGCTGCTCCTTTGTTGGTACCGAAGCAAGTTGTAGTTCACGGAAAGAGCTGCGGTGGAGAAACACAATAGGAGAGCGATTTGGAGGATGCACCTGTCAATCATGATGAAAACAGCAACAGTGATCTGTTCTACCACCTGAACAAAGATGCTGAAACAAAGGCTTCAAGAGTTTGCAGAGCGAATGTCCTTTCTTCATGAGTATGGGCTATTTATACAGGATGTAAAGGCCCTCTACTCTTTGTATTTCATAGGGATTTCCCAGTTTCAGTTCTCCCTTTCAGTTTTCCTATGTCATTTGAATAAATCAGAGATCTCTAATACTCTTTTTCTTTAAGCTCCTTACTATTTTATTTTGTAGATGTTAGAGGGAAAAAAAGATATACAAACTGTGAGAATTTCTGATGTTTTGTAAAGTCTCAATGAATTGCCAAATGCTAAAGAAAAAATAAGCCAAACTATTTTGAACTTGCTTATTAGAGGGGTTTTTGGTTTGGCAAAGATTTTCTTTTTCTTTTTTCATAGTATGAGATTTTTTGGTAGGGGGAGAGGTCTTTGTAAGAGAGTTTTTTTTTCCATAAGAATTAGATTTAATTCCCAATTACACCATTATGAAACAATAAATATATGCAGTTTATGATTTCTAGAAAGACACCTACTTTTTTCTATCTAAAATAGAATACTTTTTTATTAAATAAAATAAAATAATGTTAAACTAAGTTGATCTGAATTTTTTTGTAGGGCCTTAACCGTAAGCAGCAAGATATTACATAACTTTATCAGCCATAATTTATTGCTTTATTTGGCTATCTCAACTATCCAGAATATGACTGAAAACTAGAGATTATGTAATATCTCTAATAAGGCAAAATGAATGTTACAAGGACCACGTATAAAAGTTGATGTTTGTAGGTGGACTTTGTGACCATTATTCAGGGCCAATGTAGTTTTATTTTGTACATACTAACAATCTAAATGTGTAATTTTTCCACTCATAGGCAAATACAAACCACATATTAGAAGGAGATCTAAAAGGAAAATGAAAAAAAAAATCAAGCAGTCAGGGAATGTTACTGTTGAGATAAATGGTCCTATCTCACTATTTCTAAGACCATTTTTGTTTTAGAGTGTAGTAACTGATTTTGATCAGAGAGGAGTCAGTTAAAAAAAAGTCAAATTATGACTTTAATGTCCTGCTTACAGAGACAGGGAGACGTAGAGTACATTTTTAAAGATTTCAATACAAAAATAAGTTCTAACAATTATGATATTTAAAGTAGTTATTTTCAGTTTTCAGAAAACCTTGCATTATCTTTTGACCTGAATTTACTAAATTCCACTGTGTGCAACTGTAGCATGAGCTGCTGCAGATTGTAATCCTCACTCACATGGATCATACAGTTAAGTAGGGGAGAAAAACATTAAAGAAATACACAAAAGTAAAAATGCAATGGCAACAAGATTACAGAGGAAAGGTTGGTGGTATTGTCAGTTTCTATGATATGAGCACATATGTAGTAAAAGAGGTCAATAAAGACTGACCTGAGGTAGTAACACTGGAGCTGAAATCAGAAGGAAGGTCAGATAGGACTGCATGTGCAAAGCCCCTGTGGTGGAAGAATGCATTGTAAGGGCAAAGGATTGGACTGAAGGTCATTTGACCTTCAAGTCAGAGGTGGTCAGAGAATGATTTGAGATGACGCCAGAAGGTAGGTGGGAGCCAGATAGCACAGGGATTATGGGATCAGATTAAGGGTGTTTTCTATCCTAAGAGTAGTAGAAGCCATGGAAGGGTTTTAGGGAGGGGAAAGTAGCTTGATTAGATTTGAGGGGGAAAAATTATTCTATCTACAGTAAGCAATAAATAAAAGATGGAGGGCAGAATGAAGGCAGACAGAACAGTTAGAGGATTTACCAATATTGTAGACTAAGGAGTTAGTGGAGGAGAAGAATGGATTTGTTTATGAGGAATCTCTCATTTCCTGACAACACCAGATGCTTGAAGAAATTCTCCATCATCTTACAGATAGCTGCATCAGTTCTATTGGTTATTATGATTTCAATATATGCTTAATGCACAGGAAAATTACTTCTGTTGTACCAAATTGAAGTAGAGGCTGGAAGTATCTGGGTAAATGTGGATTTATAAACCTGGAGTAACCCTGAGTTCTGGGTTTCCCATCATCAATAAACCTTCTATCTTCAGATCTTTACAATGTGCTGAAAATATCTACAGTATATCCCTCCATTCCTATTGCTCCTTATTAGTTGGCTGTATGTAATCAGCTCTCCTCAGAAGGGACCTTCTATTGATGTTTTCTGAGGTATTCCTAAGAAACTGCTTGTACTTGAACTGTGCTAATACAATGCCTCCTAAACGGAATGAAGGGGAAGCAATTTATCCTTCCTTCTAAACTGATGGAGTGGGAAAGATACCAGTGTCATTCATTCAAATGACACTCATTCAAATAGAAACCAAAACCATATTTAACATAAAACTAGTGGACATGAGCCACAAAAATGCAAGCAGATGAGGGCAAATCACCAATAGTCACAAGACCTGCTTGTGGTAGAATCATCCATGTGGGAGAAAACAGAGGAAAGCAGTGGACCTGAGAATGCCAACATAGCCAAGAAGTGTGTACTGGAAAGCTGTCCAGTTCAGTCTGAGAACAGCAGCTGAAACTGGAAGGGATTTTGCTCAGTGCTATAGCTGGTGAGTTGTGAGGGGCCTCAGTAAGCTCTGAAAGGTGCTGGAATAGTCCAGGATACCAGTATTTTTAAATCAGCCAGTCACAGCTCCCTTTGGAGAAAGGACCCCACACTGAGAAGAAACTGCTAGAAGTGAAATCAAATTTTAGCAGGATAGAAACAGCAGAGACAAGGAAAGAGAAGACCAGACCAGTGTGGGGGTGGACAACTCAGCCAGCAAACGCAAATGATTTTGAACACTTCATAAAAGCAACAGGAGAGGGAGTTCTGTGAAGCTAGAAAAATCACCCTGACCCACCTCTAGAAGCTGAGGAAAATAAGCTCCTATAAAATCAAGCAACAAAACAGTATTAAGATTGAGTCTCTTACAAAGTTATTTTTTTTAAAGGAGAATAAGGAGCAGACTAATAGCTCTACAGACAGTGAAACACATGCACACAAAACAGATCACATTTTAACATAGTTACCGAAGGAGTTATAAAATATTTTAAAACAATATAGAACAACATAAATCAGAATTAGACAAACTCAGAAATGAAGTAATATATATAGGAAATCATTAGAACTAAAAGAAAAAACTTTAAGACACAGTCACAAAAAATGAGAGGTTTTGGGGCAATCTCTCACTAGAGAAAATCTTCAATATGGGAGAAAATATTAGCAACTAGAATCCATCAGTACATTAAAAATAGTATATATTGAGCAAGAAGAATTATTTTCAGGAAACTGAGGATGGTTCACTATTCTGTGGTTCACATAACATTATTTGAGCAGATGACAAGGTAAAATGACCAAAATCTAGAATGAAACTTGGGTATTTTAAAAATTGGAGTAAGGAAGACATTTCTCAGCAAAATATAAAACCCAAGAACTAAAATAGAAAATTTAACCTGCAATGTCACTGCTGGGAATTTACCTATGGATAGGATATTCCCGCAGAAGTATGTTTATATAAAAATATGTATGTGTATATGTATTACACATTATGTATTATATGAATATGTATGAATGTTCATTGCAGTACTGTCATAGTAAAAAAGACAAAGTAAATATTCATCTCTAGGGAATTGGCTAAGTAATATTATGATACAGACAGGTGGAATACTATATAGCCGTTAAAAGGAATATTATCAGCTGATATGAACCTATATTCAAGGTATATTTAAAGAAAAGAGCAATATATTTAATAATGGATATGGTATTATTCTCTTTTTTAAGTTAATAGAAAGATATACATATGTATGCTAATATGCATATAATCTTTTTCTCTGAGCACGTTTACTCATCTATTAACAGTAGTTACCCTAGGGAAGAATGCTGATGAGTGTAAGGATACAGCAAGGAGGAAAATTCTTTCCCTTTTCACTTTGTACCTTTCAAACTGTTTGCACATGGGTTTTTCCCTATGATAAGAAAATATCTGGGAGATAAGGTTATTAGGCATTTTCATAATTTAGTGCACTTTGAAAGAATTTAATAAATGTTACTAAATTTTTAGACTTTTGTTTTATTCACATTTAAAACTTTTCTATCATTATAGATAGAATATAGATATATGTTACTTGTGTCATTAAAAAATAAAAAGTGCCCAATTACATTCAAAAGCAGGGCATAAAATTGTGCATACAATGCAACTATATACAAGTATGTAGAGAAAAGAATTAATAAGAGGAAATACACCGAAATTTTAATATTATGTTTGATCTGTGAAACTAAAAAGTGATTTTTTTTCTTTCTTCTTTGCATAGTTTCCAATTTTCCAACAGTGAATGTATTCTTTCATTATAGGTAAACCTATAGTAAAGAAATAAGAAGCCCAGCATGTCTAGTTACTCTATGGGTTTCATTCTCTCTGGCCTTTTGACCCTTGCTTGCCAGCTCTGAACAGATATCAGCCATCTCATGAGTTCTGCACAGTGGATTTTGGAAAAAGGAAAGTCATTTCTCAGTTGTTCAACTTTCAAATGCCCAGTTATGTCAGTCATTGACTACTTCCTCAGGGTTTCTTCGTTTTGTAAAGGATCCTTCGATTAGCCTGGAATCATTTATGGCTCACAACACAAAGGCCAATGCGAGGAGTCATGGAGATCAGTCAGCCTAGAGGTGGTCCACTGCACTCAGGGGAGGCAGATTGTTCAAGGAGTCTGATCACTGGGACCTGCCCATCCAGGGTGACTTGCAAACTCGTGTAGAGCTGACTTCCCCAGATGTGACAGAGGGCCTGCTCATCCTGCCCACATCCACTGGCCTCTGATCCTCCATGCTGAGAGAGTTCATACTCTAATGGAATAAAAATAATACTGGTGGCATTTGTAGCAGTAGTATTATTTACCATATATTGAGCACTTATGTGACATTCTTTGAATAATCCTCACAGTAAACATTTGAGATGG